CCTCCTGCCCCCTCCCGCCCGTAGGCCGCGCACCGTTTAACCCTCCCGCTGCCGCACCGCGGGGGCGGCGCTCGCCGCGTCCCAGGTGTGAGGCTGGAGAGGGCGGCGGAGGCCGAGCGACTGCTGGGTTCCCCGCGTTGTGATGGCGGGCTTCTCCGCCCTCTTCACCCAACACCATGGAAACCCATGGTCACCTTAGTCAGTTTCTGAGAGTCTGCGTCTCCAACTCTCTTTCGCCCCTGGTGAAAAGTGCGGAGTGGGGATCAAGGTACGGGGGTCGCCGTGAAGACCTGGCACCATCCTTGGATTATCCCAATAACTGGATTCCCCGATTCCCCTCTGGCCCTGCTACAATGCAGGGCCTCCAAAGCCACCCGGTTATCTTTAAAATAAGAAGATCAAGTCGCATTACTCAGCTTATCTAGCAATCAGAATATCCAGACTCCTTCCAGCGACTTACAAGGCCCTATATGACCTAACCCCTAGGTAGCTCTCTGATTTCTTAAGACTTTTTTCCCCCCCTAACACTTTATGCCCGAGCTACACTGGACCTGATCTGTGTTTCTAGAACTGGAGGAGCTTAACTGGCCACAGGGTCTTTGCACTTGCTATAACTCCCTGTGCCTGGAATGTTTTTCCATAGCTTTTAACAATAACTCACTTTTTGTTAGTATTTCACTTAGATCCAATGTCACCTCTTCTGAGAGGCCTTCCCTAACCTCTCCATCAAAAGTAGCTTCCCCTGACCCATCCCAGCCCAGTCATCTCTATCACAACCAGGTTTTTGTTTTAATTGATTTTAGAGAGGGAGGAAGGGTGGAGGTGTGGAGAGAGAGAGAGACAGAGAGAGACAGAGAGAGAGAGAGAGAGAGAGAGACATTGATGTGAGAGAGATACCTGACTGGTTGCCTCCAGAGCCTGGACCAGATCAAACCCAAAACCTAATTATGTGTCCTCATTGGAAATGCAACCCAGGACCTTCTGGTGCACAGGAGGATGCTTCAACCAACTGAGCCACACCAGTCAGGGCCACAGCCTGGTTTTATTCAGGTTGTACTTCTAGGACACCACACTCTCCTTATTTCCCTCCAACCTTACTGGCTTTTCCTTCAGTCTTTTTCTGCTCAACCTCTAAATGTTAGAGCTTCTGAGGGCTTAGTCCTTGGCCCTCTTGTCTTTCCACGTTCTCCGTCCAGTGATGTCATCCAGTCTCAAGGCTTAAACACTATGTAAATGTCAGTGAGTCCTAAATTTATATCCAGAGCTCCAGACTCATTTATTCAACAGCTTACTTGACATCTCCACTTAGATGTCTAATAGCCATGTAAAGCTAATGCAGCCAGAATAAGTCTTGAATATTTCCTGGCCAATCCATTTCTCTCCCAGTGTTTCCCATCCACTTGTTCAGACTAAAAACCTAGGAAATGTCCTTCCTCCCTTTCCTTCTTCTTACTAATTCCTACCCTGTAGCTAATTCACCAGCAAGTCCTCTGAGCTCAGCATTCAAAGTATATCCTGAATCCATCCACTTCTATCTTCGTTGCTCTTATCCTAGTCCAAGCCATCACCTCTCATCTGGAATAGTGCAGTAGCTTCCTAGCTGTTCTCTTGCTCCTGCCCTTGCTCTTTACAAACTAGTCTTCACAATATCTAGTAATATTTGAAAATCAGGATCATATCATGCTCTTCAGTGCTTAAAATATTTGAATGGCTTTTCACTGTACTTGGAATAAATCTGAACGCCTTGTTAGGAGAGGCCCTTCAACTTGTACTCCTCCTCAATGTTCAAACAATGTTCCTGCCAGATCAGGCTTCTTGATGTTCTAGAACATCCAAAATCATTCTCTTAGAAGTCCTGCACTTTTGAGTCCCTCTTTCTGGAATCCTTTGTGTCCCCCTCCCTCTCATTTTTACCTGGTTGGCTCCCTCTTGTCACTCAACCACCCACTGTATTTCATCAGCATGTTTCATTGTCTTTCCAACTCATCTCACTCTCTGAAATGATCTTATATTTGTTTATTGTTTATTGTCTGCCCCACCCCACCCCACCCCACATACACTGGAAAACAAAGATCTCATTTGTTTTGTTCCCCCGTAACCTACCTCAGGGCTTGGCATATAGATGCTCAATATTTATTGCTTAGTGAACTTCACCTGGGACCCCTGCCCGCTGGAACTTTTCATTCTCTCTTTTGCCCTCCACCTGCCTTTCCTCTGTATCTTCCTGCCCTCCCTGATCTCTGCCCTGTGATCTGTGCACAATGCTTTCGACTGAGCCTCTGCTCACACCCACGCGCCTCCAATCGCCCTTCATCCTCTGCTCTATTACTATCATTAGCCTGGCTCTCCGCCTCCTAGAAGGAAACCTGCTGTTCTGACCAGCATCTGCAGCAGCTGCCCTCCTGCTTGTCTGTCCCTGACAGTCCCTCATTCCTAGGTCAGAACAGCAGGGAGTGAGCCGTCCTCCTTCTTGTGTCTCCCAGTGGGAAAGACAGTGGACATTGGATGTGAACTGGGCCGTATGAGGCAGGGTCCACAAGTCACACCATATCCTGGGCCTCAGTGAGCCCCAGGATATCCTGAGGATGTGCACTAAGGGGACTCATTATGTGATGGGTTTGGGTCAGATTTATTCACTACCAGTTACACTGAGGACTTTGGGTCATTATTAGTTATTTCTAGTATTTTAGATTCACTCGTTCATTCAACAACTCTTTGTTTGTTTATCCGCACCCGAGGATGTTTTTTTTTTTAATTTATTTTAGAGAGAGAGGAAGAGAGAGAGAAAAAAAATCAATGGGAGAGAGAAACATGTATCGGCTGCTTCTCATAAGCAGCTCCAACCAGGGACTGAACCCACAACCTTGGTATGTGCCCTGACTGGGAATCAAACCTGTGACCTTTTGGTGTATGGGACAATGCTCCAACCAACTAAGCCACCTGGCCAGGGCTCAACATACCTTTTTTGAACACCTGCTACATGCTGGGCACTGTACTACGGGCTGAGGATATAGTGGAAAGCAAGAACAAAGCCATCACTGTCTTCCTGGAACTTAGAATTTAGTGAGGGAGACAATGAAATACAGTGATAAATGTGTCTTCAGATAATGTGAGGACCTTCCCACACTCCACAGTCTATAAATTATCTCCCTGTGTCTGGCTCTGTTAGTCTCTTTATCATTATCTCTGGGCTCACTGGGGGGTGTCGGCCTTTGTCAGGGTAAATTTCTGTCTGTTTCCTGTCCTCCAGTGTCCATCTGAATTCTTCTCTCTCAGCTAATGCTCTTGCTTTTGATTTTCTGAGAAAATAGATGCAGACAGAAGAGAACTTCCCATTTCTGCCACCACATCCCATCCCCACCTCTCCTTCTGGGGGTTATCCCAGGCCTTTTCACTCACCAAAGTCTTCACTCCAGGGACTGCCCCTACTTCTCCCCCAGCATCACTCCTCTTCTCTACTTGATTATTCCCAGCAGCTTGTAAGCACACTGTAACTTCTCACAGCTTGAAACAAACCCTTCTTCGCTCCATGTCCGCCTCCAGCATCTGCCCTTCTGTTTCCCTTTACAAGAAAGCATCTCAGAAGATGGTCTCCATTTACCATCTCTTCCACTTCTCCTCCCATTCCTTCTCTTTCTCTTTTATTAACTTAAACTATTAATTAAAAATTTTTTTTCTAATTTTTTATTGATCTTAGAGAGAGGAAGGGGGGGGAAACATTGATGTGAGAGAGAAACATTGATGAGTTGCCTCTGGCATGCACACTGACCAGGGATCGAGCCCACACCTGGGTATGTGCCCTGACGGGGAATCTAACCATGATCTCCTGGATCATAGGTCGATGCTCAACTGCTGAGCCATGTAGGCTGGGCTATTCCATTGTTTTTAAATATAGTTTTCTCACAAATGGATATAAGCTTAAACAATAAATATGTTGTTTAGTCTTGCTTATTTTCAATATAATAAAATTATATTATATATTATAATATAGTATTTATATTATATCATATTGTATTACATGTAGCCCTCTAGTATATATTTGGTTTTTCTTTCTTTTTCTTTAAAATGTTTTTATTGATTTTAAAGAGAGAGGAAGGGAGAGGGAGAGAAACATTGATCTGCTGCCTCCTGCACACCCCCTACTGGGGATCGAGCCTTAAACTTGGGTACATGCCCT